CAAACAACAATGATGGCTGCAACCAAAAAATGGCCAGGCGCTGTGGCGGGCACCTATAGTCCCAGCTACTTGGGAGGCTGAGGCAGAAGACTCGCTTGAGCCCAGGAGTTGGAGGTTGCTGTGAGAGTGATACCATGGCACTCTACCCAGGGGGACAGCTTGAGGCTGTCTCAAAAAAAAAAAGGACCTTAACCTCTAAATCTTGGCCATCTCTGGTCATCCTGAGACTGCAGGCCTGCAGGCCTAGCCTCTTCACTGGACAGAGAACACTCAGGAAACCCAAAGCAAAGCAGTCCACCCAGGCAAATGAGGAGAACCAGGTCTCACAGCCTCGCACAGCCAGCAAGGAGAGGAGCTCGCAGAAACTGGGCAAATTCCCCATCTGAGAGCAAGTCCTACGGGTAAGTCCCTACATCTAACAGTCCTCCTTTCACTGGGGAGGAAAGCTACATGCAGACCAGACCACAAAGGTGTCCATCGGCACACAAAGAATCAACCGAGGCCACTTCTGACAGGCTCCCACCAGCATGAAGCCAAAGAAACCTCCAGAACCTCGTGACAACTGGGGCTCAACCACCTGGAGAAGGGGCAAGACCAAAGGTGTCCAGGCCTGGGAATGGCAGATGTCATGCACAGCTTACCAAGGACAAACCTGTCAGCGATCTGCTGCTACACTGGCCTCACCTTCCTTACTTTCAGACTGGGTCCATTATCTGCATTTAATGTAAATATTCAAGTCACTGATTGGGAAAAAAACGGACCATTATATAAATGTGAAATCCAGTTATGATGAGTAAACATGTGTCTTATGACACAGGACTCAAGCCTGGACAGCCAGGCTGTGGTATCATGGGCTTGAGGCCAGCTTTGCCTTTCCCTCAAGCCCTGATGCACATGGCCTGTTTGGGAGCTTGCCCCAGGGCTAGAGATCTCACCTGGAACTAATCAGCTTTTTCTTCTCCAAAATGCAGAGAATGACCTGGGCATGCGCTTCTCCAAGGCCCTGTACTACTCTGGCTTTCTCTGCCTTTCCCATGATTCCCTGGATGACACCCCTGCTCCCTCTGGTGACCTCCTCCCACTGCATCCTTTCCTTCCCCCCACCCCTGACAGAATACATGATAAAGAAGGGTCACCTGGTGAGATGTCACATGGGGGGGCTCATGAAATTACAGACTCTCAGACTTAAACAGTAGGTCTGAGGCGGGGCCTGACAATCTGCATTCCTTTTTTGAGACAGAGCCTCAAGCTATCCCCCTGGGTAGAGTGCCGTGGCTTCACTGCTCACAGCAACCTCCAACTCCTGGGCTCAAGCGAGTCTCCTGCCTCAGCCTCCCAAGTAGCTGGGACCACAGGTGCCCGCCACAACGCCCAGCCATTTTTTGGTTGCAGCCATCATTGTTGTTTGGCGGGCCCGGGCTGGGGATTCGAACCCGCCACCTTAGGTGTATGTGGCTGGCGCCTTAGCCACTTGAGCCACAGGCGCCGAGCCGACAACCTGCATTTCTAACAAGCTCCCACCGATGCTGATGCTGCTGACCTGGGAGCCACCCTTTGAGAACCAACACTCTTACCCACTGATCCTCAGTCCTGTTGGTTGGTAAGACTCAGGCAGTTGGGAACTTACGAAAACACAGATTCTAGGACACCAACTTCAGAAGAGTCCAACACAGCCAGTCAGGGAAGGACTGAGAATCTGGCTAAGATGCTGGTGGCCACAACTGGTTTTCACCCACCTTTGGACCCATGTCCCCCTAGAAAAAGGTCAGGACTCTTTGTCTCTATAGCTTTTCATAGTCAAACAAGCCCATGCTGCTCAGGAGACATCCTGTCCTTCCAAATTGCCACAAGGGGACAAACGGGGGAGCAGAATGATCTCCTGGCAGACCAGTCCCAGGACTAGACTGCAAGACCTGCATGTTGTCTACCAAAAAGCCAAGGGCAGGAGGAAGTCCTACCACCCACGCACCCTCCTGGCCGCCCCATCAGAGTAAGGAAACACATTTGTCTCACTTTATTCCAAGCCCTCATGACTGGCAGGGCAAGCTGGGCAGTAGTTCTCTTGGAGAACATTTTCAAACACCCCTTTACAATAATAGCCAGTTATGTTTGTGCTATAATGTTAGGTGGGAGGAAAAAAGGCAGGATATGCAATTGTATATATGGCACTACCACAATAGCACAAAACAAAAACTATTCACTCAAGAACTGAAAGGAAACACTAAAAATGTTAATAGTGATTGTCTCGGAGTCCTGGGCTTTATGGGTGGTTATTTTTTCTTGCTACACATTTGTTTTCCAAGCTGTTTACAAAGAGCACGTACAGTATTACTTGTATGTCACGAACTTTATTTTACCTTAAATCAGAAGGAAAAAAATACTTAGCAGAACACCATCTATACAGAATGTGCCAGCCCTGAATGCAAACATCGTACCAGATTTCTCCAGGCAGGCAGGGCTGAGAGGCAGTGACCACACTGTGACTGGCAGCCAAGGGCTGCCAATAAATGTTTCCTGACCATTTACACTGAGCTGGCCAAGGCTGCCAACATACACTTAGCTCAAAGAGCTAAGAACCCAGGAGGGGGAGAACAAGTATGCTGGATCTTCTTTCCCATCCATAGGGGCTCTGAGTATGGACACATCATCTTTTACTTTGTGTGACAATTTCTCTCTCTCTTTTTTAAACCTTCTTATAATAAGAGATGGGGTCTTGCTCTTGCTCAAAATGCTCTTGAACTCCTGGTCTCCTGCAATCTGCATGCCTTGGCCTCTTAAAGTACTAGGGTCACAGGTGTGACTGTGCCCAGCCTTGTATGACCATTTCTCTTCCTCTGGAACTCTACACTGCACCCCAAGTACTGTAAAGTGCCTTGAGACAGAGTCTTAAGGGGGTGTCTAGCCCCTTCTGCCTGGGCCAGACCTGAACCCTCGGAGATGTTCACCAACAGTAGGAGTCCTACTGGGCTAAGGGCAGCATCCTCACAGCCTGACAATTTATAGCGGGCCTGATTGCTCTGTGCTATTCACAGAGAGCTGCGGAAACCTTACCTCTGTCTGAGACCTTCATCTCTGCCATAGAGATTATCACCTCCCAGCCAACCCTGGGCAGGAGACACATGCGTCTATAGTGTTATGCCACCAGCTCTGGACAGCCTTGCAAGCCTGTTCCTGCCCATGACCTTTCAAACTGGAAACTCAGTCACCCACGAAAACCCCACTCAGGCGTCACCTCCTTCAAGAAGCCTTCCCTACTCCCCCAACAGAGACTGAGTTAGGGGGTCTTGTTTCTCAAATCTTCAGCACCATCTGCTTAACTATGCACTCAGCACACAGTCCTGAGAGCACCTGCTTGGCACAAATGGTGCCTGTAGATAGGGACAGAACCCTGATACCTGCTGAGCAAAAAGCACAGCCCCCAGACCCCTCATCCATAGATGCCCAATTCCCCTCAGCAGCATCACCTTTGTTCAGCTTCCCCTGCCAAGTGCCCGTCACAGGGAGGCACCAGCTGAAATGTCCCTGCATATAGCACACCCACCCCAAATGTGGTTCCTCTCAGATAAGGAAAAGAATGTACTCTGTCTCCCTAGAGCCAACTCACACAGGGCTCCCAGACCATCCCTCCCAGGCCTCTCCCTGAGCCCTGGCTCTGTCCTCAGACAGCTGTAACTAAATGAACGGGCTGGTTCTAGGCTTCTAGAGGTGATGCTCAGAGAGCCCACAGTACCACGCTCCCACAGGCTGTGGACTGAGCACAGGTGGTCACTGAACTGGCCCCCACAAGCAAATAGGCCCAGCACTCCAACTCCAATGGGAGGAGGATGGAAACACCCATCTCAGAAAACCTAGCACACTGTCTACTCCCTCCCTCTCCCATTCTGTTTCAAATCCACATTGATACAGAAGCAACCACAGTCCTCATCATAACTGGGCCCAGCACACAGCTTGATACCATAGCACAATTTCTGCCTGGCTGTCCCTCAGCTGAGCCCAGAACCAGCAGCCACTGTGTAAGTGCAGAATTTGAGGTGGCTGGCCAGGGCCCTTGCAACATCTGCAGATAGTCCCCAACCAAGCCTAAGGGACAGCACAGAACATCACGTTTGAGGAACCAGGTCTCAGAGGCAGGTCTGGACATGGGTTTAAGGAAACTCTGGTGCAAATCTAGAAAGCACTTGTTCTTGAGTAGCAGTTCCCAAACCATGTTCCCCAGGATCCAGGAGAGAGGACACAGCTGAGTAGAGCACACTCAGGCCCCCCAGGCCCTACATCAGAGTAACTAGGGCTTCACTGGGGTCTCAAGAAAAATCATATGGGGGGAATTTTCACTGCTAAGAAAAGGTTTGAGCACCAGGGCTCTAAAATGCACAATTGCCATTTCCCATCAGAAATCACAAATACCACCAAATATTCACAACCACTCTTTCCTTGGCTGGAATGGGTCTTTTAAAAAGCCCTTCCGCAGGCCCACTTGCCTGACCAACTGCCTCACACTGATCAGACAGCGTCAGCCAGGTGGTCCTGGTTGCAACCTGGATGATTACATTCTTGACCCCTCTCTATCGTCCTTCTATGGTGATCTCTTTCCGTAGTCAACCCTTGAATGGCTCCTGTGCAAACAGCGACCAGGCCGGAGGGCTGCAGACCACAACCACGCCAGGGTGCCACTCACAGGTGCATTCCCACAAGCCCCCCGTTTGGCTGCATTCTTGAGGCTGTGGCTGAAAACTACGGCTCCTCCCTGGGGCGCTCACAGAACACCAGTGATATCTGCAACTCAAGGAATGTCTGCTGAACAAAGTTGAGCCATGCAGGATCTTGCCCTTACACGATGCCCAAGAAAGGCTTCAGTGAAAGGGCCCAGAGTATCAGCAAGGAGATGCCTGAACTTGAACACATTTCCTCTCGGCTTCCTGTGGGGAAAGTGCTCCAGTGACAACACTGCAGAACATACATCCACACGTGAGAACTCCTGCAGACAGCAGAAGTGCGCTTACCTGGTAATAGGTCTTTATGTTCCTCACCAAGATGGTCAGGTTCTGAATGCGAAGGTTCACATCGTTGTTGACGTGTTTGTTGATGCGCTGATTTGTTGGCCTGGGGTCTCTAGGGGAGGAAACACAAGAAAATGGGAGCCTCTCACCTTTACCACACTTCCTCTCCCAGTCTCCACCAGGCGAGCATTTTGCTCTACTGTCCCCAGGCGAGCAGGCTTGACAGGCTGGTTCAATTCAAATCCTCACTCTGCCACTGCCCAGCCGAGACCTTAGGAAGCCCCAGCCACCTTTCTGCATCCTCACTCAACCACAGTCCTTTCATCAATGTTGTTTCTGTTCACTGTTCATAGGACAACTGCCTGTCAATGCAGACCCAAAAAAGTTTTCTTATATAAAAATCAGGCAGCTCGGCGCCTATAGCTCAACCGGCTAAGGCGCCAGCCACGTACACCTAAGGTGGCGGGTTCGAATCCCCAGGCCGGACCCGCCACAACACTGACGGCTGCAACCAAAAAATAGCCAGGCAGCTCGGCGCCTGTGG